CCACCGCCACCCTCCGTCCACCACTGTCGTCGCTGCCCTCCGTCCATTGCCGTCGTCTCCGCCCGACGGTGCCCTTGTTAATCTTTTACTCTTTTTGAGTCTCTCCAAATACCAGAAGCCGTCATTCAGTAGGCAAGAATCACTCTCCGATTGCCTCGAGTCGCGGCTCTTGCCAATTCATTCAGCCCGAGGATGAAATTGGTAATAAAAAACACCGACAACTTATGTCTCGAGAACTCATTGGAGCAAAGCTGTTAATTCATCCTATCTTTTGCCAATTTTAGATCGAATTTTCAGATTCGGTTCAGATCTGTATTCATGATTTTTCGATAAAAATGTGGTTTGTAGTTGATTTTCGATATATAGTGGAGTGTAATTGATTTTTTATATTAATTTTCTCTGAAACCATTTTAGGCATATCCGTAGCGGCGATCTGATGTGGCAGAGTGGTAATTGGCGGTTGACGTAAGGGATTTGCGTCCTTTCTTCACCTGAGAGTGGCATGTAAAAATTGGGGAGTGATTGAGACGGCGGTGATGGGACAAATCACCCTCACAACTTTCGGATTCAACACATGGTCGGTGGAGATATAGCCCTTTCTCGATGGATATGCGACTGTAATGTCGAGAATCTGGATTCAACTATTGTTTATAATTTCTCTTAAATTGAGATTTTTTATTTTATAGTTGATTTAGATAAATTATAGTTGTTTTTTATTTCTATTGTTGGTTTTGATAATTTTAAAGTTGATTTGATAATTTTTTAGTTGTTTACAATTTTTTATGGTTGGTTTTCATTAATTTGTAGTTGATATAATTTTAGTAAACCTGCTATTAAAAATAACTATTTTGTGATTGTTGGTTCGAGAAATAAACGAACAAAAAAGTAGTTGTTTTCAGTAACCTATAGTTAATTTAGGAAATAGTTGATTCCGAAAATTTTATAGCTGTTTTCGGAATTTTATAATCGATATGAAAACAAAAAATGGGAAAAAAAATTGAAAAAGATATTTTTTAAAAGTATTAGTTTTTAAATAAATAAACGAATATTATAATTAAAAGAAAAAAAGGAAATAGATATTAAAGTAGTGGGGAGAGAATAGTGAGGAAGGGTAAATTTGAGAATTAGAAAAAGTTAGACCTATCACTAATAAATGAAACGGGGCTGGACCCATCTTTATTAAAAAAATGTTGGGTTCTCACTGAAAGCCCCATTTATAATTGTTGGGTCTTTCTAGGGTGAGATACCCCATGTTCTAAACTTATTTGAGATATGCATTAATCACCATTAATTTTCTAAGAGTAAATCTGGACCCTAGGAAAATAACATGATTTATGTTCTAAAAAATGAAGTACTTTACCAAATTATCCTTCGATTATTTTTTTATTAAATTAATATAAAATTGATTAACATTGAATCGTCTAATTTACCCCCTACTATATTTTAATTAAATAATTAATTTAAATTCATTGTGACCGAATTTTATTTGATAAATAATCGAAAAAAATGCATTCATTAGGAATAGAACTCATGACCTCTTAATATATTTATCACTCCTAACCATCCAAGCACATTAACTTATTATGATATATTTAACCATAATTGTATAAATACTGTTAATTCAAATATTAATTCTTACATTCATTATTTTTAAATGGTATTAAATAAATTATTAACAAATTTAATAAAATAAAGTTTGAAAACTATAAAGAATTGCAGTTCAATAGGCCAAACATCTATCATTAATTATATAATATTAGAAGTATTAATAAACTCCACCATTTAAAAATGTAAAGAATGCTCAATTAAATATAAAAAAAATGCATAACTCAATTCAAACTCATTTATGTAATTTAATCGATAGTGTGACAAATCCAAATAAAAAATAAAATAATATATTTATTTAGAAGAAGAAAAAATTATAACTCATTCCAATTAGTAGTTTTCTTAGTTTAAAATAAAATTATATACTACAAATACTATATTGTGAATTTTCTTTTAATATTTAATTTAATCAATTAGTAAGATTTGAATCGATGAAGTACAAATCCTTTCAATTAGTAAACATTATTCAAATATTTGAATCGGTTGCTTAACTATTGACATAACATGTTACATAATTGATTTAACTATTTATAAGTAATGTCTAATATCTTTTTAATTCAATTTTGTCATAAAAAATAATAAATTTAATTCCTAACACATGTAAGAACCTAATCGTAAATCATAATATTTTATCAAAGCGTAATATTTGAACCAATTAAGCTCAAGTCCTTTCAATTCGTAAACATTATTCAAATATTTGAATCGATTCATTAGCGCGCTCAACTATTGACAAGAACGTCTTAATCAAATTAACTATTATTAATTAAAGTGTGATACATGTTTAATTCAATTTTATCATAAAAAAATAATTCATACATTACGCAAGAATCAAATCATAAGATTAATTAAAGCGTATGATTTGAATCAATTAAGCGCAAATCCTTTTAATTTGTAAATATTATTCAAAAATTTGAATCGATTAAGTTCAACCACTAACAAGAACGTATTAATCGAGTTAACTATTTATAATTAAAGTCTACTATCCTTTTAATTCAATTTTAACAACAAAATAATAATTTAATTCGTAAAATCGTAAGAATTAGATCGTAAATCGTAAGATTTAATCTAACCATGAACCGATTAAATCTTACGATTTTTATGAATTAAATTTTATTATTTTTTATGATAAAATTCAATAAAAAAAGGTTACTAAACTTTAACTATACACAGATTGATTAATACGCTATTGTAAATTATTGAGTTTAACCGATTCAAATATTTGAATATTGTCTACGAATTGAAATGAGTTGAGCTTAATCAATCAAATCTTTGAATGTTGTTTTTGAATTGAAAACACATGAGTTTAATTGATTCAAATATTACGATTTAATTAAATCTTACAATTTACGATTCAATTCAAACTTCAAATTCTTTCGAAATTCATTTTTAAATTACACGAGTTGAACAACATTTCCTTAGATTTTTAAATTATATTATATAAAGATTTGTTAGTATGGGATATTTTTAATATATAATAATAATAATTATATGAGAATTAATAATTTATTTAACATTATTTATATAAGTTTTATAACCATTATAAATTGTAGCTTTGTGATATATATCCGTATTGTTAGTTTATTGTCAATTATGTGTTGTGTCTTAATGGTAAGTATTCTTGTATGTTTTCAGATGGTCACAAGTTCGAATTCAGGTTGATGCAATTTTGGATGGGTGGTTTAATGATTTTTACGAATAATGATATAATTTACGTTATAAATTTTAATTCAGCAATAAATATATATTTAAAATTGCATTAAAATAGAGAGGGTAAAATTGACATTTCATTAATAATTTATAATTGCTGATTTTTTAAAATAATAATTGTAAAAAGGGTATTTGCGACAATACATAAATGGAGAAAAAATAGGTCTTTTTGGTGAGACACGTGTCGCAATTTAAAAGGGGTATCTCATAAAAGTTTAGAACACATGATCTCACCCTAGAATGACCCATAATAGTTATAACTGAGGGACCAAAAGTGTTTTTTCTGGAAAATGGAACCAAAAGTATTACAAGCGACCAAAAATGTACTTTTCCCATTGAGAAATAGTGGACATCTTGTCCAAAGTTAACAAATAAAATGAACAAAACTTATTAGTAAGATAGAAAATTAGTATGAGTTTCTTTATGGATTTTAAGTTAATAATAAATAAAATTAGATTCTAATATACACAAAAATTTAAATTGAAAAATTACACATTTGCATATATAATATTATTTAGACAAAAATATACCAAGTACAATAAAAAAATTAAGAAATTAATTGAAAATTTAATAAAACACGTGCAACACACGTGCACCTTTCTAGTCTCCCTAAAATTCAAAAACATGATACTCCCCATTTGAAATATTGTTTTGGTTACATTTGCCCCATAAGATAATTTTTGGAGGGCATCGTGCAACAAAAATAATATGTTAAATGGGTAATATGCAAAAATGTACTGCTTTTAGGGGGCAATATGCAACAAAAATAGAGTAAATTGCAAAAAATACCCTTGTGTAATCTCCAAATAGTAAAAAACTCCATGTGATATAAACTAGTAAAAAACCCCCTGTGAAATTTAGCCAAAGGCATAAACCCCCTGATTAACTATCGTGTGGCTCACTCGCTGGATGTGGCTGGTAGCTGATTTTTGGACGTGAAATGTTGAAATTGTACCTCAAAATGTATTTATATGTATGTATATTATATGTACATATATTTTCTTTTTAATTTAATTTTTAGAAATTAAAATATCATTAAAAAATTAGTAAACAATTAAATTGAAAAATTATACAAAAATTGGTAATATAGGTTTTTGAAAATACAAAATAAAAATATACATAATAATTGAATTTAAGTTTTCTTTTAATGCAGGGATAATTTAAAGTATATACAAAAAAATATCTGATAATAAAAATAAAAATAAATGACCCTATTGTATTTTTCTAATTAAGATATAACAAAAATAAAATAATTAAAATATTTAAAATACTGTTAAGAAAATCTATTAATTGCAAGACTCCGGAGTATTTGTGTCTTTTTATATCAAGTCCACACTCAAATGAATAATGGGCCAAGTGTGCTATATAAATAATTTCATTGGGTTTTTTTAGTTTGTTTATCACGGGGGATTTTTTTTTATTTGGAATCACACATGTGTACTTTTTGTAGTTTAGTCAACAAAAATAACATTTAAAGAGGCAACGTACATAAGAAAATACTCAATTCCGATGAATAATGTATCGGAGTTTTGCTATCAGGGCAGCGTGCAACAAGAATAACATTTTGAAGGACGACATTCACTTTTTAAAAAATTAAGGAGGTAAAGTGCAAACATTAGAAATTTATAGGGTGTAATACGCAATTTTGCCAAAAACGAAATTAGATAATAATAATAAAGAAGAAAAGAAAATTGTGTTTGGGATTCCCTAATCAAAACATAGTCTGGATTCTTCATTCGACACAACAACCTCAAACCCTAGTCTGCTGGCTTTCCTCATTCTGCCGAACTCTTAAACCACAGCCGCCGCCGCCGCCGCCACCGCCGCCGCCACAAATGAAGACCGTCAAGGCTGAAAAAACCACCGATCATCTTCCCAAAGAAATCATGGAAGAAATCTTGTGCAGACTCCCGGTTAAACCTCTCTCGAGATTCAAGTGTGTTTCCCCATCATGGCGTTCATTGATCTCCAGCAAACAATTCATCAAAACCCATCTCCAACGCTCGAAAAAGATCGAATCTTTCGCCGACCAAAGAATCATCTTAACCTGTAAAGGCAAACTAAAGGCATGTTCTCTGTCCTCCTTGTTGACTGAATCGGTCACTCGTGTTGATTCTTTCGATTTCTTTCCGATGAATAGTTCGAATGATATAGTTATCGTCGGTTCATGCAATGGTTTGATCTGCATTCTGGTAGACAAATGTCGGTTTTTCTTGTTGAATCCTTCGACACGAGAGTTCAAGGAATTGCCCGACTTCTTTACCGGAGCGATGTTCCCGAAAAATCTCGGTTCTATTAGTGCATACGGATTTGGATTCGACGAGAGTAGTGGCGATTACAAGATTTGCGCCGTTTGTTATAGTATGTTAGTGTTTGGTTTGATCGTCACTTTTCGGAGAACCGTAAGAGTGTATAGCTTAAAGGCCGATTCTTGGGGAGTTAGTAGTTTGTTCTATAAACACGACATATGTTCGTATGGTGCAGCCAAGTTTATGAGTGGGAAGTTTCACTGGATAACCGGTTTTTTAACGGATCCGAAATGGGAAGTTGTTTGTTTCGATTTGAAGAGTGAGACTTTCGAAACCGTGAAACAGCCTAGTTGTATGGAGGGTTATAAACGTCCGAGCTTGGGAGTTCTCGAAGGATGTCTTTGTGTGTTTTCCGACTATTCTCCAAATGATACGTTCGATGTCTGGATTTGGAATGAGTATGGGGTTGAAGATTCTTGGGCTAAATACGTCACTATTCCTTATCAATCCGTTACTAATTATGTAACCCCATTGTTTGTCTTGCCAAGTGGCGAGGTTCTGTTTACATGCGGATCGGAATTTTTTATTTACAATAAGAGAGATAATTGCGTCAGGCAACAACATACCATTGACTTTGACCGTGACCGTGATCGTGATAGTGAAGCGGAGCTCTACACAGAAAGTGTAGTCTCACTTGTACTTGGTGATTGATGGTGGTGAATATGGGAGGCAAACTTTAATGGTATGATTTGATTAAAAAAAAAACAAGAGTAGCATAAAAAGGAGTATATGTAAAATGATTAAATGATGTTGTTTAAATTTCTTGGATTTTTCTTTTTCAAAATTCAAATTGTGTTACGAATTGAGAAAGTAGGTGACATGCATGATTCGACACGATTCGAACCCTAGTCTTTTACAGTAGATATTATGTACCAACTCGTCGTAATCGGATAATACTAAGATGGTATGTAGTGTTGGCTTTTGAAGTAGTTTTTGTTAGAAGTGTATTATCATGTTGCTTTGTTATGAAGTGTTTGTTTTTATCACATTTATTGGGGTATGATTTATTGATTTAATGATGATTTATGCAAAATTGTTTCCTCTTAGACATCAAACATCTGTAAGTTAATGTTTAGTAACATTAGTCATAATTAATTAATTATTTTCTCTTTGATTAGTTTGATGATTTTTCATGTTAACCCAAAATAATAAAAAAATGAGCACTTACATCTTTGATGTTATGAATGCATTTAATATACTTTTAGTGTAGAAGTCAAAACGTAACAGTTTAAGAAGGTTTCGTTAACAGTTTATGTTTTTAATATGCTTTTTGAGAACTATAAAAAGATGGCATTTTAATGGATTTAAGACACACCTGAGAATACAAGAAAGAATAAGAAGAAAATGTTCTATTCTCTTTGTATTTGATCTCCCATATTATTGTTTTGCTTGAGCTTTTTAAATAGATTTATAACATGTTATCAGCGCGAATTGCTCTACCTCATTTTCCGGTAAAGATTTGCATAAAATTGAAAGCCTGCATGCGGTAGCAGTCCTAAATATTTGTTGGTTGAATAATTTATATCAAATTTGGTTCTCATTCTTTTATTTTGATGTGCATACATTCACGAGGAATATTAAATGTAAGATTATATAATTGATTAAAATTATGTATGCCATGAATTGCTGAATGCTTCAATCTTTCCAGGCAGGTGAGCATTTGAAAGAAAAGAATAATGAAAAACCATGAGTCCGTGAACAACCTTGAACGATAGAAACATTTGTTTGATTGACAGTGGAACAACACACATAATTCTTCGATATCAAAAATATTTCTCGAGTTTGATATTGGTAAATGCAAATGTTAGTACAATTTCTGGTACAACCAAACTAATTGATGGTTGCGGAAGAGCAAATATATTTTGCCTGGTGGAACAAATATTTTGGTTAAAGAGGTTTTTATACTCTAATAATCCAAAAGAAACTTATTGAGTTTCAAGAACATATGTTTCAATGGGTTTCATATCGAGACTATGAATGAGTGGAATGTGAAATATCTTTGTATTACAACCAATATTTCATACCAGAAGCATGCATGTTAAAGAGAAAATCACAGTTTTCTCACCAGTATTGTATTATACGACTATAAGCGCAAGAAAAATAAATATTATGATGGACCAGAAGTCCAATGATTCGAAATTTTTCTCACTTAGGCCCGATCAACTTGGTCACCCAAGATCAACCATGATGCGTTGAATAATAAAAGGGTAAATATATAACATTAAATCGCCCAAACTTTGTCCGTTTTAACAGATTACAACCTCAAAAAAAAAAAAAAAAAAAAAAACTCCGATCCCATCTAACTCAATATGTTGTGCCAGGTTGCCCATTTTCTGGCCAAATAACCATAATTAGACACACGCGTGTTGCACATGCGATGTAGAAGGGTGTGGGTTTTTTTTTTTTTTCTTTTTTGTCTTTTCAAGTTAAAAACTGTTGTAAATAATATAGTTGTTGTGGGGTTTCCTAACATAACCACCCAACTCCCCACTAGATCACTACCCTACCCCATGTCTTTCCATTTGTGTTAGTGGTAGAGTAACTTCCTTTGTAACTTCTCTTGTAACTCCCGGTGGTTTTTCACCTATATAATGGAAATCTCCCTCCCCCAATAACACACCCTTATTATTCTCTCTACGGATTTTTGTCTTTGTCATACTTTATTTTCCACAATCATCAAACCTAAAAGCAATACAATTAAGGCGATTTACAACACGTTATCAGCACGAATTGCTCGCGGTGATCGTGGAAGAACACTTGTTCGTGGGGCTAGGATACTTGGAGAAATTGTGAGCGTGGTTCGTTTGTGAGACGGTGATCTGCTTTAGAAGAACGTATAATCTTCTCAGAAGTAATTGAATTTTATCAAATTTCAAGTAAGTCCTAATCCCATGATTTTTTATGAAAAGCATCCTAGATAAAATTTGAAATGCCATGAAATATATGAAGAATATGAGATCTCGTCATTATTTATCATATTAATATCATGACTACGTGTATTATACATATCCTCAAATATACCATGTTTTTCAATATATAATACTTTAATATTTCATGTAATGATTGTATGTGGATATACGATACGAAAGGCTTGAATATATGTCAGTATGCATGATTATTTATTTGTGATTACTGTCGGAGATTGATTATCTTTTTAGAAATGTCAGTATATTATAATGTCTTGCTCACTAGCCTCTTGATTTCGAATACTTCTCTTACATGATGCGAAAACCACTATGAATGGTTCATTGGTAAGAAATTGTATATTAAAACAGATTTAAATCCATGTATATACATGCAGTGAAGAACGGCTTAGTTTAATAATCATTAACTGTTGAAATATTTTTCATATTAAATCAGGAAGTATCATACATGTTATTTATGGTTATAACATGATCAATTATATGATTTATCGATCATGTTATGTTATGATCAGATTACAATATAAAATTTAACTTGACTGGCCCAATGTTTATTTCTTTACGTGTAAATTCTTGACAATATTTGATTTGCATTTATGCTTTGCCTATTTATATTAGGATGGAACATTTGAGCAAACTTGATTTCACCCCTTTGAATGTATCTGGTGAGAACTATGTGAGTTGGACAATGGATGTTAAGATCCATCTCACTAGTAAGAAATTGAGGATGGCAATCGTTAAAGAAAATCTGCTTAACGAAGCCCAGAAGGCTGAAGCTATGATTCTGATTAGGAGGCACCTAGATGAGGTCCTCCGTTTGGACTACTCATCGATTGAGGATCCCCAAGTACTATGGGATGCCCTGGCTAGTCGATTTGATCACCAAAAGACAATCCTCTTGCCTGAAGCAAGAAACAAATGGATTCACTTACGGTTTATGGACTTCAAAACCGTTAACGAGTATAACTCTGAAGTATGTCGCATCAAATCCACCCTAGAGTTTTGTGGAGAGAAACTAACTGATGCTGAGATTCTGGAGAAGACGTACTCTACATTCCCTGCCTCACATATGATACTGTCTCAACAGTACAGAGCCAAGAACTATACTCAGTTTTCAGAGTTGGTCACAGTTCTGCTCCTTGCCGAGAAGAACCTTGATCTTCTTTTGAAGAACAACCAGGCTCGACCAGTTGGTACTCGACCTTTGCCAGAAGCAAATTTGGTCAATCGAAATCCTCAACCTTTGCCAGAAGCAAATTTGGTCAACAGAAACAATCGTGGTGGAGGCAGAGGCCGTGGGTTCAATCGTCGAGTGAGGGGAAGAGGTAATAGGGGCGGACATGTTCCTTATAATAGGCCACCTAATGGTCCCCCACAGTATGGGCAAATGGGGAATATGCCAAGAGGAGGTAACAATGCTCGACCTAGAGGTGCGCAGCAGAATAGAGCCCCAAATCAGAATCAAAATCAGAATAGAGATACATGTCATAGGTGTGGTGGAACTGGGCATTGGTCACGCACCTGTCGTGCGAGGAACGTTATGGTTGGTGGTGTAAATAACAATGCACCACCGGAGACCAACCTGGTTGAGATAGACGTTCTCAATGAGGAGCCCATTGCTCGACTCTCAAATCTGGGCACATCTGACCCAATGACCCAGTTTGGAATATGATTGGAGTGTTATTTTATGAGTTTAGACATTATGTTCTTCTATGTTTCTAGTTTATCAGTTTTAAGTTATGTTGTTTATTTGGTCATGCTTATGAACCAATTTCGTATTTGGATTATGTTTGTGCTTTATTTTCTGGACTATATTTTATGTGGTTATGTTTTAATTCAATTTTTATGGTACTCGGTAGAGTTATCTTGTTTGGATTTTATTAAAGTATTTTCAACTGCGGAATATATGATTAGATTTATTTATCTTTCTAGACATGGCATGTGGGGATGAATGTCTGGCAGATAGTGCGACAACGCACACTATCCTTAGGGATAAGTCATATTTTGTTAGTTTCATGTCTAGTAAGACTTCTTTGACTACTATATCAGGCACATCTAGTATAATAGATGGTTATGGTAATGCCCATTGTATGTTACCTCATGGCACAATTCTGACCATTAGAGAAGCTCTTTATTCTCCACGTTCCAGTAGAACGCTGTTGAGTTTTAAAGATATTCGAGCCAATGGTTATCATGTTGAAACAACCGATGAAAAGGGGATCCAATATATGTGCATCACCTCTAACGTGTACGGCCAGAAGCGTACCTTGGAAAAATTAGAGGGACTTTCGATAGGGTTATATAGGACCAAAATTCGAGTGCCAGAAGCACACCTTGTCGATTGCTCGAAGTCTGGTGACCAAAGCAAATATTTTCTATGGCATGACCGACTGGGACATCCGGGTCAAAGTGTGATGCGCCGAATTATTAACACATCTATTGGGCATCCACTAACAAATAAGGATCTTGTACACAATGATAAGATATGTGTACCCTGTTCTATTGGAAAACTTGATCCTATGCCAGCTTATGCACAAACTAGTAAAAATTCTCTTGGTTTCTTGGAACGAATCCAAGGAGATATATGTGGCCCCATCTCACCACCATGTGGACCTTTTAAATATTTTTTGGTGATGGTTGATGCTTCAACTAAGTGGTCACAGGTCGATTTGTTGTCTACGAGGAATGCTGCTTATGCTAAACTCCTCTCTCAAATAATAAGATTGAGAGCACACTATCCAGATTATCCCATTAAGTCTATTCGACTGGATAATGCTGCAGAGT